TGCCTTCCTCCCCCAGTGGGCTGGCTACACAAGCAGATGGGTCCTAGGCCTTCCAGGAACCTGCCTTCCAGGGATCTAGCTGGCTTTGGGACCTGTGCATGAAGGATGTAATAACATGGAGGTTGCATGGTGAAGATGAGACAGTCAGTGGTGTGGGGAGGCTAGAGAGGCCGTGGGGACATGGCATTGTAGTTGATATGGCGATGTGTATGTGTATGTGTGTAGTATAGGGACTGGAAGCAGCTTGAGTGGCCCAAAAGCAAGAAGGATAAATGTTTGTCCGAAGTGGGATTAGGACTTTTTTAGAAGTACAAGGTAAGGAGGGGTATTGTGCCATTTGAAGCATCTTGTGGGATTATCCATAGTGTGAGTCCATCCAGCATCTTGGGCTGGCTGTGGGGCTGTGGGGTAAAGGAAGGGCATTTGGTGGAGTCTGAAACTGCATCTCAAACTCACGTCTTTCTGTCTCTGGCTGAAGAAGAGGTAACCAAATGAAAGAACTTGGGGAGGGTATATGGTGCACCCTTAGCGGGGACAGGAAGCACTGGCATAGTAACTCTAATGTCTGGGGAGACAGTCAAGGACGTGATGTCCATTGAGGTGGAGGGGGGGGCTGTTGGTGTAAGCATTTGACTGGGGTGTCCCCAAACATGTCTGGAACTTGGGAGGGTCAGGCATAGAGGAAGGGAGACCAGGTGCTAAGCTTAAGCTGAGACCTGGTCCTTCCCACAAGTTCATCTACTCCTAAGAAGACAGATGCAGCTGCCCCCACTGGTCCATGGGGTCAGTATGGTTGAGTGGTGAGAGCTCTATGTTTTTTGGTAGCTGTGACCTTGGACATGTCCTTTAACTTTTCTGAGCCTCAGTTTCTACCTCTGTAAAATGGAGCACCTGTCCTGGCTTGTTGCATGGCTGGTGTGTTTATCCCATGAAGAGGAACAGATTTTTAAGTGCATGGGGCTTTTTTTCTGGAACAGGGTACACTAGAGGCTTTGCCTTCCTCATCTAGATGAGGATAGAAAGCAGAAGGCCTGTCCTCAGGACCCCTCAACAATGAACCTGCCAAGCCTGGCACTAAAGTATCTGGCCTGAGGGAGCCCAGGATCCAGAGGGAGTGTCTAGAGAGAGGGTGTGAAGTGTAGCCTCCCCAGGTGCCTCTGTGAGTCTGGAGTGTCCCCATCACAGGTGTCCATCCTCACTTTGTAGGTAGCGTGGGCTACTCTAGCCCATGCCTGGGCCTTGCCCCAGCTCCCCACTAACTCTGTCACATGCCACTCAAGTCCTTGGAGGGAGACCTTACAGGCATATCTGAACCTCCTTCAGGTTATAATTGCCTATCCCAGCTGCCTATCTTGGCAAGGCCACTTCTTGTGACCATCATAGGAAGTGACGTCACAGGCACGGATGAGCCTGTAAAGGGTGTGGGAAAGGGCCTGGTGAGGGACCTCCTTTGTTAGGAGTGACTCTGAGTCCCCCCAAGCTAGATAGCCATGTGTCATGAGTAATGGCCATTGTAATAGCCTGTGAGGAAGGCCTCAGCCTGAACCCCACAGGAGCCAGGGCCAGATGGAAGAAGGACTGTGTATCCTGGGAGGGGTCCAGCTGGGTGGTGTTTGTGTTTTTAAAACATAATAAGTGAGCTTGTCTCCTCCAGCTCTGCCCATTTCCCACTGGGCACAGCGGCCTGCAGTCAAATGGGAGATTTTCCATGCAGTGGGAGTCATGGCTAGGAGAATTAGCCGGTGTCCAGAGGCTAGATAGCTGCTGTGATTGCTGATGATAAATGTGCCCAGCATGGGTCTCTGCCCGCACCTCCCTAGCTTCACCCCCCCACACCCCCGCCTTCCTGTTCTGCTCCAGTCAGCCCTAGACACATGGACCTGCTCTGCTATAGATAGATGCCTGGTACTGTGCCAGGGTTCCCCAGCCCCAGGGACAAAAGCCAGTGATAGAAGTGTCAAGACCCTCTCCACCAAACTACTGTATCCTTGTGCTGAGACTTCCACCCTGGGCAGCAAGGTCAGGTCTCTGAGAGGCATGTCAGGAATTTGTAGCCCAGGAATGAGACATTGGACAGACACCTGCACAAAGGTGGACTTCTTTTGAACCATCGTGTGTGTGTGTGTGTGTGTGTGTGTGTGTGTGTGTGTGTGTGTTGTACCCATGTTTGTGACCACACTTTGCTTTTTATGCATGTGCTGGGGATTCGAACTCAGGTCTTCATGCTTGCACAGCAAGTGTTCTTCCCAGTGAACCATCTCTCTCCCAATCCCTAAAAAAAATATTTTTAAACTTACTTTTAAAATGTTTACAAAGAAGCAGTTTTCTTTATGGGTTAGTGCACTTAAGATAATAATTTCCAGTTCTACCCATTTTCCTGCAAATTTCATAACTCCATTTTTCTTTATAGCTGAATAAAATTCCATTGTATTATGTACTACATTTTCATTATCCATTCATCAGTGGATGGACATTTATGCTGGTTCCATTTCCTAGCTACTGTGAATAGGGCAGCAATCAACAGGATGCACAGTTATACTAAGTATTTTTTCCAAGTGGCTACTAAGTTTTTAGGCTGCAAGCTTTTATCACATTCTTTGATTCTGACTACATAATAAATTCCTCATTGTTAGGAATTTTTTGAAGCCTTGAGATATGATTAAAAATTATTGAGTTACTAAGGACCAGAAAAGTGTGGGCAGTTGTATTAAGAGTGATTGTGCAGTTTTTTGAGGCACTAGGAAATGCCGTCTGTACAGGGCAGGGCCAGAGAGCTCTCAGGAGCTCCAGGGACTTTATTCTCCACTGGCTGTACAGTCTGTCAAAGCCATGAGGCCCAAGCTAGGGCCAGCTCAGTCACACCCACCTGGCTTCTCTTCCCCTCCTCCAATGTTCACCTACTGTGCCTGTGCTGACTAACTTGTAGTCTCCCCAGAGGGGAAGAACTCTGTGGTAACCTTTGCTTCTGTTTCTAGCATGCCTGGAGTGTAAGGGCATGGGTAAGGAAGCTATCAAATAGTGAACCACCTGGGGCCACCATAGAGGGGGACTGACCTGAGGGGGCAGGGGGCAGCCCCTGGACAGTGCTGTGTACCTGGCTCAGCTGCATCTCTACCTACTTTATGAATGCTTGAGTCGTATTAGGCCTTCAAAACAAAGTTATGAATATTCTGGCAGGGACACATTGATCCCAGCTAGGGTTTGGGACTACTGGCTAAAAGGTGGGGGCTAACTTGAGGTATGCATTCACAGGTTTCTCACCCATTTCACAGATGGATGGCTTTGAGCATGAAGGGGCTGCATCAGACCCCATCATCTGAGTGTGGCTCCAAGGCCCTGCTGTTTACTCTCAGGACTGAGCGGAGCTGAGGGGTACCAGAGAAGTGGGTGGGACTCTGACCTATACTGATCCCCATTCCAGAGCTGCCCAACTAGGGGAGGCCTCTGGGGCATCTCAGGCCCCTGGAAGTAGTACCCAACACAGGGCTGAGGCCCAGGCACCCACAGTGCCCTTCCCAGGTCAGCTGCCCCATGCAGATGGTCTTCCCCTTCTCAGCTTTGGAACAGAAACCTATTGGCCCTTTGAGAGGGGCTATCAACCTTAGAGCCCTGGCCAATGTCCTGTGCTGTTGTGGTTCTCCTGTGTGGGGACATTTTAGTGTCTCAGAGCTACAGCAGCAGTGACATGAGGAATCCTGGGCACTATCCCAAATGCAGAAATCTGTTACATGGGTTCAAACCTTGGCTCTGCCTCTTGCTTTTATACCTGTGTGACCCTGGGCAACTTGCCTCAATTTCTCCTTTATAAAATGGGGAACTAACGGAACATACCTACAGGGTTGATGCAAGAATTAGATAACTGTTTCAAACATTAAAAACAGCTCAGTACTTGGTAGACGTTTGGTACAACTTCAGTACAGCAACATGTACTTACCAGGGGCCTTCCAGGCCTCATGTGAGCCTCAACTCAGCCTGACAGGGGATGGCTGCTCTCCTCCCTGACCTCCAGAAACTAATGAACAGGACAGAGTCAGATACTCTTCTTTGGGTCACATAGAACATGCTAGAAGAGCTAGCTTTGCACCTCATTGTCTGGCTTCACCTTTACCACCAGGTTGGTCCCCCTGCCCCAGCCTAGAGTCACTGTATTTTGCCCTTGCAGTCTCTTTCCAACTCTTAGCAGGATCTCTTCTTCCACACAGAGAAAGTGCATTCAGACATATTTTATTCATTTTTGTATTGGGGAATTGGGTGTCCCCAGCCCCTGTGTCCACTGTAGGGACTCCTACAGTCTTCTGCCCTGGTTGAGAAGTGCAGGATCCCTATTTTAGACTTCCCAGAACCCTCGCTACCTAGAGCAGCACATAGCTGGTGGGAGGGGCCTCGAGGACATGCCATCCCCAAGCTTAATTCCCAAAACTTTTAGCACTGGAGGTTTGCAAGCCCCCCACAGCTTGTCCCCAGCCACCTGATTGTTCTGCATTTGCAATGCAGAGCCAATTTTCCTAAGTCATTTGTAACCAATCCTCTGGCTGGCCTGCTTTCCTCCCTTCCTGTTTGTCTCACCTCCTGAGGTGGTGTTCTTTCCAGGGACACAGGTGTTCTCCCAGGGCCATGTGTATGGGGGGAGGAGGTGGTGGCCACAGGTCTTGCCTAGCTTTGCACCTTGAAGGTTCTTAAGTCTTGCTCAGGGTGTAGGCCTGGGCAGAGACTGCAGGATACTCGGAGCCTGGGGCCTGGCACTGCCACCCACCCCAGCCCACCCCATAGCCTACAGGTTCTGGCTGCCTCTCCATGTTACCAGGCTGGCTGGGTCTACAGGGGGCACCAGAGTCCCCGGGCTGGCCAGGCCTCAAAACTCCGTCTCTTAAAGCAGAGCAAGATGGGGAAACAGCTCAGGAGTAGACCTTGCATGGGAGGCAAAGCAGGTTCCTCAGGATGAAGAGGTGCAGCCTAAGCCTCGTGATGCTCCCCCACCTCATGGCACTCTCTCTCCACAGGCACTGATGCAGGTGGCCAGGCGCTCCCAGACTCCTTCCCTTCAGCACCTGCAGAGCCGCTGCCCCACTTCCTGCAGGAGCCGCAGGATGCCTACATCGTGAAGAACAAGCCCGTGGAGCTGAGCTGTCGTGCCTTTCCCGCCACACAGATCTACTTCAAGTGCAACAGCGAGTGGGTCAGCCAGAATGACCATGTCACACAGGAAAGTCTGGATGAGGCCACAGGTGAGGCCTGCCCAACCCGGGCTCCTCAGAGACATCACATAGCCACCACAATCCTCTGCCTCAATGTCCCCTCTAGTTCACCCTGGGTGGGCACTGCCCCAAGTGCTTATCACAGTTCGACCTTGACCTTTGATGGCTGAAGCCACTGAACCTCTCCATCCTCTGACTCCTACCATTGGGAATTAGGGCTCCCAGCAGCAGCCAGTTAAGCACCAAAGAGAATGCAATACCAGTGTTGTCTTTCCATAGCTTTGTGTTGGTGGAAAGTGGCACTGCTTTCCAGCCACATTCATGACGCATTTCCATTACAGAAGTTGTTTTCACTACAATAGCAAAGATTGGACATGTCATGCATTGAATAGCCCTTGTCAATACTCTTGGAACTGGAAGGAAGTGTTTCAGATTTCTGAGTTCTTTGGATTTTGAATTTGCCTAGACTTGACCAGTTAGTCATCCCTAAACCAAAAATTCAACATCCAAGGTACTCCAAAGCCTGCAATTTTTGGAGCAGCATGTCAGCACTTAGAAAGTTTCCATTTTAGAGCAGGATCTGATGATGCAGGCTTGTTGATCCTAGCTACTCAGGAAGCGACGGCAGGAGGATGATGTGTTCAAGGCCAGCCTGGTCTATGTAAGGAAGATACTGTCTCAAAGTATAAAATGAGGAAAGGGACTGGGGCTGTAGCTCAGCGGTAGAGCACTTGCCAGTTATGGGGCCCTAGGTTCAATCCTCAACATACCAAAAAACAAAGTGTCAGGGGCTGGTTGAGATGACTCAGTGGATAAAGGCACTTGCTCATGACTTGTGCTCTATCCCTGGGACCCACAATGCAGGAAGGAGCAATCCGGCTCCTGAAGTTGCCCTTTGACTTCCACATGCATGCTGTGGAGCCACACATAGACTCTAAATAAATGTAAGAAATTAAAAATAGGGGACTGGAGAGATGGCTTAGTTGTTAAAATAGCTGTCTGTTCTTACAGAGGACCTGGGTTTGATTCCCAGCACCCACATGGTGCCTGACAGCCATAACTCCAGTTCCAGGGGAATCTGACACTCTTTCTGACCTCCATGGGCATTGCACAACACAGGTGCACTTCCACACATACAGGCAATACACTTATACACATAAAATGAAAATAATAAATAAATAATTTTTTAAAAGAAATTTAAAATAAGAATAAAGTTTCAATTTGGAGAACATTTTAGATTGCAGATTGGAGGTGCTTGGCCCTGTATTACATGAATGATCAAACAAGTGGTATTGGGGTACAGCCCAGACTCTGAAGAAGGCCAGGGCAGTGATTGAACCCTGGGGATTGGAAGAGGCACGAGGCCCCTTCCTACTGGGCCGTGGCCCACTCGGCTGCCAGGTAGAGGCTTGGCCAGCTCTTCCCATCACCCATGGGCAGTAAGGCCAGTGTCCCTGGCTGTGGTATGGGAGCCCTGGGATAAAATGCCATTCTTAGAACTTGGGACAGAGAAGAAACCACCCACAGCTGTACCCTGACCGAAGGGAGTCTGCCAACGCTAGCTGAGGACTGCTCTGGCCTCCGCAGCCATCCTAGCTCAGCCTTTGCCCCCTCTGTCCCTCTTTGATCTTTTCTTTCCTTTTCAGCATTTTCTTTACCTCAGTTTTGCCTGCCTGGTGTCTCTGTGTCTCTCCTACTTTCTTCTTTCTTCCTTCCCTCTTAGTCTTTTCCATGACTCTCTTTCTCTCTGTCTAGTTCAATTTCTGCTTTGCAATGAAAAGCCCAGATTTCAGGCCACACAACAGCAAGCACTTACCATTGCTGAGTAGTGTTCCTAACCGTGGCGCTGGAAGTTCAGTTGCATGTGTGAGCATGGTACCAAGATTCTGAAATAAGAGACTTGAAGTCCCATTCTCATCGCAAATCTAGAAAATAATAATAATAAAAAGCCCCAGCCAGTGTGATGATATCCCTGCCTTCCAGAGTCTAAGGCAGGAAGGTTACAAGTTTGAGGCCAGCCCAGGCCATATATCGAGACCCTGTATCAACAAAAACAAAACAGAGTAGCCTAACCCACCACCTAGGGGATGTCACTCTGGCTGTGTGACTGACTATGGGGAAGTCACCCAACCTCTCTAAGTCCTAGGTCCTTCCTTCTATTCGTGGATGGTCCCAGTGGGGAGGCAGCAATGTAGTACATACACAACATACACAGTGCCAGCAACGTGGATAGCTAGGATCCTGCAGGGCCCTGGCAAACACTTCCGTATTCTTCCTGGGTTTTCTGGGCCTCTTTCTTTCTTCTACAACCAATCCTTACTTCTCTGTCCTGTGAGTTCCCTCCTCCTCCCTGGACTCCAGTCAGGACCATCCATGAGTTGCAGGCAGAGTGAAGGATAGCATGCCTGCTGGGGTCCTCACAGCTGATGACTGGTAGTAGTAATCACAACCCTGTGGTCGGTTACTAGCAAGTGTGACAGTGTGGCTCTTGGCCCTGCTGTCTGTCAGGGGCACATAGTGTCTGCCAGCCCGGGGTTGTTCTTATTAGCTGTGCATAGTAACAGTGGTGCCACCAGCCATGCATGGGAGGACAGCTGTGACCAGGACAGGAGGGACAACAGGCCTTCAGTGCTTGCCAGGATTAGCAGGCAGCCCAGCCTGGCACAGAGAGGATGGAAGAGAGTTCCAGTGTGCTGTGGCCCTATGGCTACATGGGAAGGCCTGGAGGCTATGTGGAGGACCTTGATCTTTACACTGAGGGATCTAGAAACAGGCATGTGTGAGTTATGACAAGCACATGCTAGCTTGGTGGTGAATGGATGGGAAACTACAGAGGGCTAGTGTTAGCCACCAAATAGACCAGGAGACTAGCGTAGGAGAGTAGATGGAAACCAGCAGAGATTCTGCGAGAGCCACAGGGCCCCTGACGACACCCTCCTCTCCCTCCCAGGCCTAAGGGTGAGAGAGGTACAGATCGAGGTGTCACGGCAGCAAGTAGAAGAGCTCTTTGGACTGGAGGACTACTGGTGCCAGTGTGTGGCCTGGAGTTCTTCAGGCACCACCAAGAGTCGCCGAGCCTACGTCCGCATTGCTTGTATGTCACCCTGACTCTCCCATCCATACCCCAGGAGATTTTCCCCTTCCCCTGTTAATGTCAGTTGGAGAAGTTCACATATGTGAGAGAGAGAGCCCCGGCAGAGTAGAATGTGTATGCCAGCTCACATGGGCTCCTAGATTCAGAATCCAGGCCTCCTCTAGCCCCAGGGTTTTTAACAGCCCTTTCCACCTGTGAAAGGAAGCTGGCAGCTTCCAGGCAAGGTCCCAGACTCAGGAAGGAGACCTTGTTCCCCAAACCACCTATGGGAAGAGACACTTTCCCCAGGTGAAGGAAGGTGGCCTGTGAACAGGTCTCTTGGTGTGTCCTGCCCCCTAGTGGCCACAGTGGGCACTTCATGCTCCCATCCTGTGCCCACCTGATGTACCTGGGAACTCTCTTCACCCAGACCTGCGCAAGAACTTCGACCAGGAGCCTCTCAGCAAAGAGGTGCCCTTGGACCATGAGGTTCTGCTGCAGTGCCGTCCTCCAGAAGGGGTGCCCGTGGCTGAGGTAAGGGGGACGTGGTGAACATCAGGCAAGGGTGAGGACAACCAGGCAGGGTACTTACAACCAGCTGGGATACCACAGCCTCCAGACACCCCCTAAGCACAGGCAGGTGGAGCAAAGCTCAGGATGGAAAAGGCTCTGCTGCTTCTGCTGAATTCTACACATACCAGACCTTGCCCAGTCCTCAACAGGTGCAGCACCACCAGAAGGGAACCTAAGCTCCTTGGGCAGTCCCCAGGCCCAGTCTCTGACCCACACAGACCCCGGGGACCAGCCTTGTGAATGCCACAGGATCTCAGTGCGTGTGTCCCAGAGTCCATTCCATTAGCTGGAGACCCCTGCCCCTTACCAGAGGACACCTAGGCCCAGCCCCACCTTCCTCATAGGCCATAAACACTCCCTTTCTCCAGTCAAACCCCTGAAATTCAAGGGAGATATGTAGCTTTGCACCAAAAGACCAGCCTCCCCTTCAAGGCTTAGCTGTCAAACCCCCCAAATTTGCACTAATTATGAAGTGCATTTCTGCTCATACCCTCCTGGACAGTGGGCACCTTGGGCTCTGGTCTCAGCAGTCCTGCAGCTGAGGCCATCCTTTAGAACTGGGGCGGCGGGTGGGTTAGGAGTTGGGATGACCACTCATGAGAGCTGAGGTCTAAAGTCAGGTTCTTGCTCCTGGCTATTGTTGAGGGGCATAGGATAGAGCAGGCACTGGGAGTCCATGCTTGTGTGGCACTTCCTCTGAGCCAGGCATGTCACCCTAGTCCTTTGGGGCGGGTGCTGTTCAGTTTCCATCTTACAGCTGAGGCTCTGGGTCTCCTAAGATCACTCCACTGGTAAATGATGCTTCCCCCATGATGGTCCTGGTCCTAAGAGGTCTTCCTTCTCCTTGTCACTGCCAGTTGTGGACATGAGTGGGACCACCATTCTAGTCCTTCCCTCTGCAGTGGGCCTGTCCCCGGTGCCAGCAGGTAGACAATGAGTCCTGCCTCCCATCCACAGGTGGAATGGCTCAAGAATGAAGATGTCATCGACCCCACCCAGGACACCAATTTCCTACTCACCATCGACCACAACCTCATCATCCGCCAAGCTCGCCTGTTGGACACAGCCAACTACACCTGCGTGGCCAAGAACATTGTGGCCAAGCGCCGGAGCACCACTGCTACAGTCATTGTCTATGGTGCGGATGGGCCCCTTGCTGGGATGTGCAGTGGTCACCCTGAATGCCCTCTATGGTGAGGGCACTCAGGTGCTGGTAGGGGAAGGCCTAAAGTGATACATGCCACCCTCCCCCACGCCCTTCAGGAGGTCAGCAGGACCCCTGAGCAGAGAGAAAGGGCAGTTCAGAGAGGAGAGGAATTGACCAACATCATACAAGTGGCCGAGTCAGTTGTTACGGTCCCCAGTGAGGAGCACTTCTTGCTTCTCAGGGTTCCTTGGCCATTTCTGAAGAAGACCCAATGCTCCTGGTGTTAGGCCCAAGACAAAGTCATAGCCTGATCCCCATACCCAAGCCAGTTGTCCCAGCAGAGGTAGAGATGCTGTCTGGGTCTTCGTGCTGGCCCTCTGATGCTCTCTTGGGCCCCAAGCATGGTGGGAGAAACCAGAATGCAGGTAACTAGAGTATTGTAGAAAGAGCCCTGTCCTGGGATCTAGTCCCAGGCCAAATTCCAGGTACCCCTTTACATGCCGGGTGACCCCGGGTAGGTGTCATCCCTCTAGCAATCTTCCTGTCACTATGTAGTGGGCCAGAGAATACACCTGAAGTCTCAGAGCCTCTCGGTGTGGTGTCTGAGTACCCAGCCCTGCAAATGAGGGGCTTGGAAAACCTGGGGGAACCCCAGTCCACGCCAACTGTGTGATGACTGCTATCCCTATAGTGAATGGCGGCTGGTCTAGCTGGGCAGAGTGGTCGCCCTGCTCCAACCGCTGCGGCCGAGGCTGGCAGAAACGTACACGGACCTGCACCAACCCAGCCCCACTCAATGGAGGCGCTTTCTGCGAGGGCCAGGCCTTCCAGAAGACCTGGTGCACCACCTTGTGCCCAGGTAAGAGCCACTGGCCAGGGATACTGCCATGTCTAACCCTATCCAGACTCTCCTGCCTGTGGGATGTATGCAGAGCTGGGTGGCATCTTCCCCTGCATAGCTGGGCAGTACACCCCTCTCAATCTGTCTCAGGCTGCTGGGGAGGTAGAGTCAGAGGCGGTGAGCTGCCATCTGGGGCTAGGCTGGGCTGGGCCAGGTTTCCAGAGCCGCCAAGGTCTCAGCTTCCTACATGAAGCTGCTGAGGTGCTCATTGGCCACAGCCCTCCTCTCTGACTGTATTCCTTTCTCTGGGTGTCCATCTGTCCTTGTCCATCTTTGGTTGTATATCTGCAACTGTATGCTGTTTCTCACCCTGGGTTTGGGTCTTTGTGTGAATGATTATGCATTGGGCTCTGTCTATGCCAGTGACCTTGAATATCCATCATGTGCATCTGACTGCCCCTAGCCTGAGCTGTGTGGATGTCTTTGGTTGTATATCTGCACCTGTATGCTGTTTCTGACCCTGGGTTTGGGTCTTTGTGTGAATGATATGCATTGGGCTCTGTCTATGCCAGTGACCTTGAATATCCATCATGTGCATCTGACTGCCCCTAGCCTGAGCTGTGTGGATGTGCATAAACTTCCCAAGTGTGTGTGTGTGTGTGTGTGTGTGTGTGTGTTGCTGTGTTCGGACGCATAACTGTGTGTACATGCATGTGCTGTGCTCCCACAGTGGATGGAGCATGGACTGAGTGGAGCAAGTGGTCAGCCTGCAGTACCGAGTGTGCGCACTGGCGCAGCCGAGAGTGCATGGCACCCCCACCCCAGAACGGAGGCCGAGACTGCAGCGGGACGCTGCTTGACTCCAAGAACTGCACCGACGGGCTGTGCGTGCAGAGTGAGTGCTTGGACACCTGGGGCTCTGGGGCTCTGGAACCAGGTGACAGACCCCACTGCCCCTGCCCAGCCCTGGGCTACCATGCCTACTCTGAGCAGAGCAGCCCCTAGGGCTGCTGTTCAGCTCCCATACCCCTCATCTCATCCACACCATGTCCCCATCATCGTCTCTACCATCCTTTCCTTGTCACCTGTGTCACTGTCTTTCCCTTTATTTCCATTGACAGATAAGAGAACTCTAAACGACCCTAAAAGTCACCGTAAGTCCCATTTCATGACTGTCCTCTATCTTCTGGGGATCCCTGGCTCCCTTTGGCTAGCTTTTCCTGGGTTTGGGTTACAGGGCAGGGAAAGTTTATGTCACCTACCCCATGGGATCCCTGTACCCTGTGCTGCATGTTGCCATACCCACATCACAGAGAGGCAGGCAGAAAAGCCTGAGGGTGCCCCCTTGCCCACCTGTTACAGAACAGGAAACAAGTCATAGAAGAGATTTGTCCAAGGAGCAAGCCAGGAAATAGCAGAGCTAAGACCTGAACCCAAATATTTTTGTGGCCAGATCCTCTTAATTGTTGGCCCTCCTCTTTGGACAGGCCAGGGGCAGTGCTGTGTCTGTTTACCCCTGTGCCCCACACTGTACTCCTAGCTGCTGGGCCACACTTCCCTAGTCATCTCGACTCTGGCTGCCCAGAGTCAGCTCCCAAGGGACCCATCTCCTGCCCCAAGGGCCCGTGCTGCTGTGGCAGCAATATCAGAGCAATACAGCCTCTCCTGGAGATCAGCCTGTGGTAATTAAAGAACAATTTCAGCTCATTCTGGAATCATAAAATCTGCAGTGAGGCCCTGAGCCCAGCTCACTGGGAGGCCAGGCTGGTGGCTGATTAGAGAGCATCAATCACCAGGCAAGTGGCCCCCAGTGAGAGTGAAGACATTAGTGTGTGGAACTGAGCTTAGAAGAGCCTGCGCCTGCTGGGACAGGAGCCTCCTGAGAGGTGGAAGCCCCTGAGGGAGCATCTCTAGCAGCTCCCCGGGTGCCAGGATGCTCTGGGAAGCCCAAGTGAGGACTGTTGAAGAGAAACAGAAAGTCAGAGCAGGAGACCATGGCCCTCCATGCTGTGAGACTCAAGGATGTAAAGACCAGGCTGGGAAAGCAGGCTACCTCTCCCAGAGTTCCTTGAGGCAGGAGGGAGTAGATGGTACTTCCTGGAACTCCCCAAAGAAGACAGGTTACAAGAGCAACCATCTTGGGGGCTGCCATCTTGCTTGTGTCTGAGCTGGCTGGTGTGGCAACCATTTACCACAGGTGGCTTTTAAAGCGCATATTTCACTTAATTAAAACTAAATTCATTAAAAAGCCAAGCTCTTCAGTTGGCACCAGTCCCATTTCAGTTGTTCAGTAAAACCACATGTGTCTAGTGAGTACATGCTGGGTATTGCAGACAGGATAGTCTCATCCTCCTAGGAAGTTCTATGGACCATGCCTCTGACCTTGCCACCTTCCTGCCTGGCTATAGGTAGTTATTTGCAACTGCAGCCCCCAGCTGAGGAAGTGTGTCCTTGGGTGGTCTCATAGCTTTTCCGCTCACTTCCCTGCTTACTGCCTCTCCATCCATAGCCCTGCCTTTCTGACCATTCCCTCCACCCCCTCTATATTCCCCACCACATAGCTGAGTGGACTGTTTACAAAGATTTGGGGGAGTTGGGGCTTTTGGGTCAATGAAAATTGCTACAGGCTTGGAGGGAAATGCTCTCATTTAGATGGAATTGTGTGGCCTCACGTTTCTAAGTCTCATACCCATCTCACAGAGCCATGAGTGAACTCATAGAGTGGACCTATTCTATTACCTTCACCTCCACCCCAGGAGGGTGGGCAGCAGGACAGGGGTTTTCAGACCATTGTACTAAGGCAGAGACAGACTCAGAGGAGTCTGAGACTTGCCCAAGGCCACCAAGCTGTCTTGCCAGGATAAGTCTAGACCGGGCTCTCCTTGGGTCTCCAAGACCTCACCCTTCACTTAACCTGCAGTGCTGGAGCCTTCAGGAGACGTGGCACTGTATGCTGGCCTCGTGGTGGCCATCTTCGTAGTCTTGGCAGTCCTCATGGCAGTGGGCGTGGTTCTGTATCGAAGAAACTGCCGTGACTTTGACACCGACATTACTGACTCCTCAGCTGCCCTCACTGGTGGCTTCCACCCTGTCAACTTCAAGACCACAAGACCCAGTAAGGGCTTGGGGATAACAAGAGTGGCTGGGATGGTTGGGGGAAGGGGTCTTCAGAGGGGTGTGACTGTCACCAAAGGTGGGACTCCTGACACCTTCCTGGGGTTCTTCCCTCATGTGCCCCAAACTTCTTTGAGTTGAACATTCTGCAGCTAGGATGGGACACAAGGGCCTGACAGAGTGGACTGGGCAGTGTGGCATGGGGTCTGACCAACACTTCCACCCCTGAAGGCAACCCACAGCTCCTGCACCCATCCGCCCCTCCCGACCTGACAGCCAGTGCTGGCATCTACCGAGGGCCTGTGTTTGCCTTGCAAGACTCAGCCGATAAGATCCCGATGACTAATTCGCCCCTGCTGGATCCCCTGCCCAGCCTCAAGATCAAGGTCTACAGCTCCAACACCACTGGCTCTGGCTCTGGCCTACCTGATGGAGCTGACCTACTGGGCGTCCTGCCAGCTGGCACGTACCCTGGCAATTTTTCCCAGGAAACCCACTTCCTACACCTGCGAAGTGCCAGCCTCAGTTCCCAGCAGCTTCTGGGCCAGCCTCGAGACCCCAGCAGCAGCGTCAGCGGCACCTTTGGTTGCCTGGGTGGGAGACTGAGCATTCCTGGCACAGGTAGGCCCTATGTCATGCACCCATCACTTGCTCTCTGTACATTGTCCCTGGATAGCCCAGTGACCAACTGCCCCAGTCCTATTACTGGTATATCAAAAGTGAGACTTGGGACAGAAGGGATTATAATATAGATAAGTCTGGTAGAAGATTTGGGGGAGGTCAGACCTGTGTGGGCATCTCTTGAGAAGGGGACTCTTGAATTGGTCACTTTGAGGCCTTACTTTCTCTATGTTAGGTTGGAGAATAGCAGTCCTATAGAGCAGCCCTAGATTCAAGTGGCTGCAAGGCAGGAGTGCCCACTCTCAACTTTCAGAAGTAGCTGGCAGCCTCCTAGGATCCTGTCCTGAACCAGATGAAACTGGCACTGGCACCTCCTCACCCCACATCGATGTCAGAGGACCCATGATCTTAGACAAGTCATCTGTGGCCAAGTGGCCTAGTCTCTCGCTATATCTGGCTTCTCTCCCAGCCCAGAGTCTTGCCCTTCCCACCCCTTTCTTCTCAGCTCTCCTACCTCCTTCACCCCTTTCCTACTGACCTCCCTCTCCCGACAGGAGTCAGCCTGCTGGTGCCCAATGGAGCCATTCCTCAGGGCAAGTTCTACGAAATGTACCTACTTATCAACAAGGCTGAAAGCACCCTGTGAGTAGATTCCCTACCCCTGGCTGGTCAGTCCCCTCCCCCTCTGCCCACACTGGGCTCCAATACTCCTGTCTCCCCGTCTAAGTTTGGTCCCAAGGTCCGAAAAAGCATTGATCTTGCTGTGACTGTGCTGTACATAAAATCAAACAGCAGCCAAAGTGTTTCTATGTAAAAGGATTTATAGACTTATGTATTACTTAGTGTGTCATTACTATGACACACTAAGTTCTTTCTGGAAAGATCTTGGGAATGAAGGGTTTATTTTGGTTCATCATGGCAACTCTAGCTGTGGTGACAGGAGCTAAGGCGTCCACAGTCAAGAAGCAGAGAGAGAAGAACTGCTGCTCAGCTCGCTTTCTCTTTTTTTGCCTTTTTCATTCAGTCTGGGATCCTAGCCCATGGGAAGATGCTGCCCACATTCAGAATGGGTCTTCTGTCCTCAGCTAAACCCCCCTGGAACCCCCCTGATAGATAGACACACCAAGGGTGTATCTCCAAGTGAAGCTTAACCACCACATATAAGAAAAACTGAACATCTCAGTTCAAAAATGGGCAAAGAAAGCTGGGTGTGGTGGTGCACGCCTTTAATCCCTGAACTCAGGAGGCAGAGGCAGGCAATCTCTGTGAATTTAAGGCCAGCCTGGTTTACGTAGTGAGTTCTAGGACAGCTGGGGCTACAGGGAGACCCTGTCTCAAAAAAAGGAGACAAAGAATATAAGTGATTTACTCCCATCTCTTATTTACCTACACACACACACACACACACACACACACACACACACACACCAGTTGTTCACAAGAAGACATTCCATCTGAATTGTAGTCAAAGACAGTTAATGAAAACAACATCATGAAATACTGGGAAGTTTTTGCTTAAGAAACCTGCAAGGATGTTTTCTCCCAAATATTAACACTTTTATGACTCCAAGAACTCGGGCATATGGCCCTCCCTGGCACACTAGTGGTTGTGTAGACTAGTACTACCTCTCCTAAGGGCAGTATGACAGCATACATCAAGAATGTCCAACAAGTGGGCCAGTGAAATGGCTCAGTGGATAAAGGCACTTGCTGCCAAGTTTGATCAGCTGAGTTCCACTCCCAGAACTCATGTAGTGGAAGGAGAGAACTGACTCCCACAGTCCTCTGACTGACCTCTACATGCTGTGTGTGTGAACCCACAAAAATGTCTAAATGTCTGAAAAAGAAAAGTTAGGGGCAGGAGAGATGTCTGAGTGGTTAAGAGTATACTGGCTGCTGGGTTCGGTTCCCTGGACCCACAGGGCAGCTAACAACTATCTATAATACTAGTTCCAGGAGATCCAATACCCTTTTCTGACCTCCCTGGGCATTGCATGCATGGGTGCATTTACATAAGTGCAGGAAAAACATTCATATACTTAAAATAAAAATAAATAAATACTTTTTAAAAGAAAAATTAGAATGCTCCAAGACCTCTGGATCTTTGGCGCTGTGCAAAGCCTTGGCTATGAGAACGTTTCTATATGATAACGGGAACGATCATATCAACAATGACAGATTGATGTTGTTTCTCTACCCCTCTAGCCCTGTAAAGTCTGGGAGTCCCTATCCCTGAGTGGCAGAGACTTGCCTTGTCACAGGCCTGGGTGGAGTTGGGGGCCCTGTTTGCCCGTGTGGCACACTTTTGGCCTCTGCTCACTGTCTCCCTCTGCCCTGCCCCTAGCCCGCTTTCGGAAGGGACCCAGACAGTATTGAGCCCCTCAGTGACCTGCGGGCCCACGGGCCTCCTTCTGTGCCGCCCCGTCATCCTCACTGTGCCCCACTGTGCAGAAGTCATTGCTGGAGACTGGATATTCCAGCTCAAGACCCAGGCCCACCAGGGCCACTGGGAGGTGAGGCACTGGGCTGGGGTGGCCGACTATTGGAATTGTCCCTTTCTTCCTGATCCCAGACCAGATGACCATGTCCACCCCTTCTTTCCCTGCAGGAGGTGGTGACCCTTGACGAGGAAACCCTGAACACCCCCTGCTACTGCCAGCTGGAGGCCAGGTCCTGCCACATCCTGTTGGACCAGCTGGGCACTTATGTGTTCACTGGGGAGTCTTACTCCCACTCTGCAATCAAGCGGCTCCAGCTGGCCATTTTTGCCCCAGCCCTCTGCACGTCCCTGGAGTACAGCCTCAGGGTCTACTGTCTAGAGGACACGCCTGTTGCACTAAAGGTGGGAACATCATAGGGGCCACACAGCCAGTGCACTGCAGGAGTATCCACCCCAGCCCACCAGCTACAAGGTCCCAGCCAGGCACCTCCCCAGCACTGTCTTCCTTTGTTCAGTCACTCATGCATTCATCAGACATCAGAAGAGCACTGAGCTCCCACAGGGGTGAAAACCATAGTTTCTGCCTCCCCTGGCTCTGGGATGGAGAGGGTGACATATAGAAATCTCTTTGATGGGTCCTGAGAAGGTCAACCATAGACCTAAGCCCTGGAGAGCAAATTGGTGCTCTGAACAGAGAAAGGAAAGGTATTCCAGATCTGTAGAGTAACTTCTACCTAGGCAGGTGTATAGGTCAGCATGAGTAGACGGTGTAGGGCATGTGTGACTGCGTTAGTGAGGGAAAGGACTGGAGACATGAGCAGGATTCAGCTGGCTGAGAGGCTCAGGCCATACCTAGGAATTGGGATGCTGTCCAGTAGTAAGGGGCCCAACTCTAGCAGATACCTGTTCACAGATGTTCTGTCAACCCTGAGGCTATGCTGCAGGGATGGGTGGATGAGAGGCAGAGGCCAGTTAGGAATCAGGCAGTGGCAGTGGCCAGAAGAAGAGACTGGACTTTGTGTTTGGTCAGTAGGATGGACAGACCAGGGTGAACGATAGCTAAGCCTCTACTAGATGCAAAAGAAAAGGTGGTGGAGGACTTGAATGAGGAAGGGTCCAGGATAGGTAAGGAGCTATTAGACAGTACCATCTGCCTTACCAGCCTCAAAGCCACTGTCCCTTCCTTCCTCCCCTAACTCTACCACATTCCCAGACCTAAGTCTCATCCTAATGTGATACTGGAGAATAGACCCTTGGCTCTGTTTAAACCCTTTCCCTTCACCATGCACCCCTCTGAGAAGCCTCATTGTCCTTTCCCACAGCCCCAGTCCTCCCGGGCCTGGGCTGTGATCTCTCCCAGCCACTGTGTCTCTCAGTCTCATGTGACTTCCTCACATTCAGTGCTGGTGACTGATGCAACACAGGTGCAAAGGCCGCATGGGAGAAGTAGTATCCCCTGTGGGGACTGCACTAGCCTGACATTCCAAGAGGCCCAGAAAGGGTGGGCGACTGCTGGAACCACTCTTGTGGCTGAATCTCTCAGTACTGGTGTTGGCTAGCATCTGTCTTGGCTAAAGAGTGGTATGGCGATACACAGGGAATTTGCCACATTTTGGCCTGATGGTGTTCTCTGCTTTTTCAAACCCCATCTGTTCATCTATCCATCCATCCATCCATCCATCCATCCATCCATCTACCCACCACCTTTTTGCTTATCTAGCCCTAAGCTTACTTGGTAAACAGCCTATGTGTCTATCCATCTGTCCATTCATCTGCTTTCCCTTCCATATTCTCCTATTCATGTACCCACCCCGTTGTATATCCATCAGTGATCTTTTATCCACCTGTCCTAGTTTGTTCTTCATTGCTGTGGGAGAATACTCTGACCACTACCAACTTGGGGAGGAAAGGGTTTATTTAGCTTACATATCCCAGGTCACAGTTAATCCGGGAGCCCAACCTGGAGGTAGGAGTTGGAGCACGAGACATGGAGGAATGCTGCTTACTGGCTTGCTCCCCTGACCCCTGCTCAGCCTGCTTTCTTATGCAACACAGGCCCACCTGCCCAGGGGTAGGTTGGGCCCTCCCACATCACTCATCAAGAAGATGCCCCTCAGACATGGCCACAGGCCAGTCCAATAGAGGCAGTTCCCCAATTGAGGCTCCCTCAACCCAGCTGTGTCAAGTTGACAATAAAGCTGTCCAGCACACCACCTAATCCACAGTCCATTCAATTATCCATTCATCTATCCATCCACCCATCTTTCCGTCCATCCATCCATCCATCCATCCATCCTTTTGTTCACTTATCCATATACTCAGTCAAAATCCACTTGTACATCCAGCTATCATACATTCACTTAATTCCCCTTCCAAATAGCCTTCTTTTCGTATTATCTAGCCATATGTTATCTATGTGTGTTATCTGCCCTTCTGTCTGTCCAGCCATTTATCCATCCAGCCATCCATCCAATATATTGATTCATCTATCCATCCACTCATCTATGCCATCAGTCCATCTGTCCAGCCAGTCATCTGTAAATCCATTCATGTGCTCACCATCCACTCATCATCCATCCACCCAGTTACCTATTCATCTGTCTGTTCACTCATCTCACCCATTGGTCTATCTATCCAGTCATCTATAAATCCACCTAACTATCTGCCTGTTTTTCTTTTTTATCCACTCCTCTATTCACCCATCCATTCACTTAAAACACCTTCTCCTTGGGTGGATCCTGTGCTCTGTGCTCAGATGGGTCTAACCCTCAGTCCTCCAGCTTGCAGCAGAGAGGACCTATGGGCCAAGAATGATAGGCCCCTCCCTCTGCCCCACCCACAGGAGGTGCTAGAGCTGGAGCGAACTCTAGGTGGCTACATGGTGGAGGAGCCCAAGCCCTTGCTCTTCAAGGACAGTTACCACAACCTGCGCCTTTCCCTCCATGACATCCCCCACTCCCACTGGAGGAGCAAGCTGCTGGCCAAGTACCAGGTGAGCACTGGGTCTAGGGAAGGGCAGGGAGGGAACCCAGTGCTTCATCCTCTGCAGTGAAGCACTGCTCCCCAGGTCTCCCATCCTTGTCTCCCTCCCTCTACCATCCTCCATGCTCCCAGCCATCTTCAGATCCATCCCAATACTGTACCACTGACAGCCATATGCTCTTCAGCTCCTGTGTATCCATACACACAAATGCTCATGCGCATCACCCCACAGAGACCTCACTGCCTCTATACATGCATGCTTGGTGACTGACCATGTTCCTCTCTGACAGTCATATCCCTCTGTTCCACCCTACAGCATGTGCCACTATTTGGGCCCAGGGTGCTCCATTCCGTACACACATGCACACATGTACCCCCCACACATGCCTGCCCCTCCTGCACAAACCCCTTTCTCAGTCCCCTCTGGAAGCAAGGGTCTCATGCCATTAGCTGGCCAGCTCTCCTACCTCTGCATATCTGAGGAGAGACTAGAATTGCCCCTCAAAGGCCCAGTTCTCTCTAAGGCTGATCCCCACCCACTGAGGGCAAGCACCCAGCCTTACTTGCAGCCCTGACCATCCCTCCCATAGGAGATCCCCTTCTACCACGTCTGGAGTGGCAGCCAGAAGGCCCTGCACTGCACTTTCACCCTGGAGAGGCACAGCTTGGCCTCTACTGAATTCACCTGCAAGGTCTGCGTGCGACAGGTGGAAGGGGAAGGCCAGATTTTCCAGCTGCACACCACACTGGCCGAGGTGAGGGTTGATGACACCCCAGGGGGCTGGAGCTATAGTGTGTACACTCTTTCACTTCCATAAAGATTCCTCTCCTTCACCTCCCTGGTCACAGCAGGGACCTGGTCACTTCAGGCAAGTAACATGTGTACTGAGCACTGGTCATATGATATATATTACTTCACCAGATAATCATGCCTACCAAAGAAAGGGTTATGGTGGTCCCCATGTGGAAGATGAAAGAGAAGGTCTTAAGGGCTGGGGCTGTCCCCACTATTGAATAAACAAGGCATGGTGTGTGCCTTTAATCCCAGCCTCAGGCAGGAGGATCAGAAGTTCAAGGTCATCCTCAGCTACTGAGTTTGAGGCTAGCCTGGGCTACATGAGACCCTGTCTCAGAAAAAAAATAATAAAGGGCTTAGGGAGGACAGGTCTTATCTACACATGGCTATATACTAGGCAAGGCTGGCTTTTAACTAGATCAATGCAAGAACCCAGCTGTGACTACCAATCACTTAATACAAACTGAGGTTTATGTAAAGCTAAGACACCCCCGTCCTCCACATGCCCCTTAACCCAGCGTAGGAGAAAGCACTGAATACAGTCTGGAGCTAGTTCTGACCATGGGCAACCTACCCTGTCTAGACTCTATTTCCACCTATATAAAAGCAGGTCAGCATGGACTGGGCATGCCTGAGGCTCCTGGGCCTTCCTCACCCTCAGCCTGTGTCAGCATTTGCCCAGAGTTGATTCTGAACAGGAGCACACCTGAGGCTGGAGCACCAAGCAGCCCTACCCTCCAGAAGTGAATGTCCAGAGAGCACCCAGAGGGCAGGGGAGGCTTGATCCTCCACCAGCTCTCCAGGCAGGGAGGATGCAAGGGCACCTGCCTGGCATTTTGGCCATCTCACTCTTGTCCCTACCCTCCCAGACGCCTGCTGGCTCCCTGGACGCACTCTGTTCAGCTCCTGGCAATGCTGTCACCACCCAGCTGGGACCCTACGCCTTTAAGATCCCACTGTCCATCCGTCAGAAGATCTGCAATAGTCTCGATGCCCCCAACTCGCGGGGCAACGACTGGCGGTTGTTGGCACAGAAGTTGTCTATGGACCGGTGAGTGTCCCAAGCCACAACCACCCCCACTGCCTTTGTCCTGTGGTCTGGCAGGGCAGTGGAGTGGATATGCAGGCAGTCCAGGGCCAGCCCATGTCTCGGCTTCCCATGTGCCACCATTTGTGGCAGAGCCACAGCTGGGTTTGATGTGCTGAGTCTGAGACCCCTGTTCCTTTGCTGAGTGTCACTCCCAGAGCACTGGGCTGTGAGCCATGGGCTTTATTTAAGTCACCCCCACTCTCAAAATCTTGCTTTTCTTCTAAGATGTAGAAAGCAGACCATGATAACAATAAGTGGTCGCTTACTGAGAATTTTTTCATCTACCAACCTTGAGCAGATACAGTGAATAAGACATCTTGCTGGATGGGCTGGGAAGATGGCTCATTCAGTAAAGTGCTTGCCTCTTAAGCATGAGGACCTGAGTTCAGTCCCCAGATCCCACATAAAAATTCCAAGCATGGTAGCATGCACTTGCAATCCCAGAGCAAGGGAAGCAGAGACAGGAGGATCCCTGGGGCTCGCTGACCAACCAGCCAGCCTAGCCTAATTGGTGAGTTCCAAGCCAGTGAGACCCTGTCTCAAAGGAGGTGGACGGTGTTCTGAAGGGTAACATATGAGGTTGTCCTCTGACCTCCACACACATGTGCACACACATACATAAAAGTAATTTTTAAAGACATCCTATTGGAAATGGGAGGGACTTAGAAAGATGGCTGGTGTCTTTTGTGGGCCAGGATTAGGCTGGAATTGAGAGGGTCAGGAGAGCATGACCAGCTGGCCTGACAGTCCCTCTGGGTGCCAGCATCTTTCAATGACGGTGAAGAGATGATGATCATGAACAAGATGAGAGTGTATGAGAACTTCACTTTATGTGAGCTTGGATCTCATTGGCAGTGTTGCCACGGCTGAGTGTCATGTCAAGAGGCTGTTTGTGGAGCAAAGCTGGGCATTTCATGGCGTCCAAGGCGCAGAGAGAAGATAGGAAGGGCCAGGGTAAAATGGGCCCCCAGTTACTTGTCTCCACCCCCAAGGCCTACCTTCCACAGCTCTACCACCTCCCAACAGTCAACTCAGATTTTGCTTGTGTGTGTTTAGGATTAGATGTGTGTGTGTTTAGGATTATGTGTGTGTGTTTAAGATTATGTGTGTGTGTGTTTAGGATTATGTGTATGCATGTTTAGGATTATGTGTGTGTGTGTTTAGGATTATATGTGTGGTTTAGGATTGTATGTGTGTGTTTAGGATTACGTGTGTGTGTGTTTAGGATTACGTGTGTGTGTGTTTAGGATTATGTGTATGCATGTTTAGGATTATGTGTGTGTGTGTTTAGGATTATATGTGTGTGTTTAGGATTAGATGTGTATGTTTAGAATTATGTGTGTGTTTAGGATTATGTATGTGTATTTAGGATTATGTGTGTGTGTTTAGGATTATGTATGTGTATTTAGGATTATGTGTGTGTGTTTAGGATTATATGTGTGTATATGTGTTTAGGATGTGTGTATATGTGTTTAGGGTATATATGGGTGTTTTGGAAGTATATGTGTATATTTAGGATGTGTATGTTTAGGATGTATGTGTATGTGTGCATACACATTTGTGTGCATGAATTCAGCACATATGCGGGGGCACAGCTGGCCAGAGGTCAGTCCTTGCCTTCCACCATGTTTGAGGCAGGGTCTCTGGGATCTGCTGTGTACCCCAGGCTAGCTGATCTGCAAGCTTCCAGGGATTCTTCTCTCTCCACCTCCTACCTCCGACCTGTGCTGAGATTATAGACATTTGTGCCTAACTTTTATGTGGGCTCTAGAGATTTGAACTCAGGTCCTCCTGCTTGCATGTCAAGCACTTTTAACCACTAAGCCATCTCCCCACCCTTTATCCAGATTTTTAATCCCTCAGTGGGTTAAACCATTGATGGAGGCAGAAACCTTATGATCCAATCAGGTCCCTGAAGCCCTGCCTTCGAGCACTGCTTGTACCAGGGACCAGCTTTCTGCTCCTGAGCCTTTTGGGGGACACTGCATTTCCAAACTGTAGCAGGGGAGATGACTGACATTGTTCCTAGTTTGGAGATGAGATAGGCTTGCACTGACTTACCCAGGGCTGCCCAGCCTGCATTCATGGGAGCTGGGAAAATCAAGGCTGTGGGACTCAAGTCTACAGTCTTCCACCGCCTGGAGCATCCCAATTCCCAGGAAGGAAGCCAGCATGTCTCCTTTCCTTCAACAGGTACCTGAACTACTTTGCCACCAAAGCCAGTCCCACAGGTGTGATCCTGGATCTCTGGGAAGCTCGGCAGCAGGACGATGGGGACCTCAACAGCCTGGCCAGTGCCTTAGAGGAGATGGGCAAGAGTGAGATGCTGGTGGCCATGGCCACTGACGGCGACTGCTAAGTGCCTGTGACCACAGGCCAGCGGGGACCAGTAGAGACAGTGCAAGAAGGCCTGGCTACCTCCCCATGGGGATGTCCAGCCTCTGCTGTCCTTGGCTCACAGCTGGAATGGCCCCTTCCCTCCTCCTCCCTGTTGTAACCCTAAGACCACCACCAGCCTTAGAAAACAAACCTCTGTGCTCTGTTGCTGAGGCCAGGCACCTCTCTGCCACCGCCATCTCCCTGGCTCACACTGGGGTGGACTGAGGCCTCTGGGGGCAGCTTGGGGCCAGGAGGCCTTCCCCCTTATACACACTACCCTCAGCCCTGCAACTTTTGGGGCCCACAGGTTTCAGTTCCGTGTTCACATGGTCCTCAGTTAAGGACCCTTCCCCCAGTCCCTTCCCTCTTTGAAGAGATGGGTTCAATTCAGACAAACTGCTTTCTACTGTCCACAAGCAAAAACAAAAACACAAAAACACCCAAAAGGGTAAAGAAGGAAAAAAGAAAGAGTTTGGCATGCCAGCAAGGCTCAGGTGGAAAGAGCACACACACAAACCACAAGGGAAAAGAAAAAACCAGTTTCTTAGGAAACGCAAATGATTTATTATCCAGGTATTTGGATAGGTCCTTTTTAAGAAAAAAAAAAAAAAAAAAAAAAAAAAAAAAAAAAAAAAAAAAAAAGAAAGAAAGAAAAAGAAAAAAAAAAGAAAAACAACAACAAAAAAAATAGAAAACTTTTTTCTTGAGCGTGAGAGTGGTGTGTTTGTGAGTTCAGCCAGGAGTGTGCTCGTGTGCACACAAGTGTGTATATTCATGGGTGTGGTCAGGGAGAGATTGAACAGGGAACACTTTGATATTCTTGAATTAACTGCGTATTAAATTCTGACCAGGCCTCGGTTTCCCCAACTGTGCAGGGAGCCGTTCAGATGAGGTTTTAGTCATGGCATTGTAAGCTGGGGCTGAGGCCTAGTGGGCTTCCCGCCCTCCTGAGCCTCAGCAGATGCTCTACTTTGGTCTCCTCTGAGTTCCTGAGAAGCCAGAGGCCCAGACCAGCTGGGAACTGGGAGACTGTTCAGGTCTCTTGTTCTGATGGTTCCTGGACTAGGGGTGTGACCCACAAGCGAGACAGAGATGGAGGAGGGTCCTCTAAGGACAGTTCTCTCCCAGGGTTTGCTTCCAGGCTTACACCAGCCAGTTTCCCACCCCTTAATCTATAGTTGCTGGGGTCAGATGTGGAGGTGGTTGTACCTATACCTGCCCCCAGCCTGTTCTAGATGTTTCATGGGACCTCCGGGGGGAGGGATGAATCCGTCCCTTTTAGCCTGCAGGCAGAGACCGAGACCAGAATCTCACTACGACACAGAGGTCCCATTGAGGGCCACTGCTGGGTACTGACCCCAGAGTCATGGCTTGCTCTGACAGACCCCTGTGCTACCACCAAGATCAGCCTGGGCACATCCTGGCCTTTGAAAGTTGGGGCTCATGAGAGCAAGCAGGTTTAGGACCATAGATGTAGCAGACATCAGCACCCTGACTTCCCTGCTGTGGCCCCTGAAGTGGATCTGGCTAGAGACAGAGATGGGTGAGACCAGGGCTTTTGCCCCAACACCTAAGTGAATGCTGCCTCAGAGAGCAGCCCTCACTACCAAAGACACCCATCCCCTGTGGGTGTGGCCTTACTGGCCACTGTTAGCCCATGTACAGAAGGGGCCTCTTTCAGTGACCTTGGGCATTCTGATCAGGCTCTAAAATATCCACTGCACCCTGGGAGTATGAAGACCAAGAACCGAGTTTTAATTCTGCTGTGTGACCTCAAGCACATCACTTCCTTCTCTGGGCTTGTGTCCTTTTAATCCTGGGGAGCTCCCTAGCTGCTCCCCAAGGCCCCTGGATTCTGACACACCTTTCTGGCCTTTGGAAGGGAGTCCTAGCAGAGAGAAGTCGACCATGGTCTATATGCCTTCCCTTCCTCCTTCTCAAAAGTCTGTCTGTCTAGGCCTTGGAGTGGGAACACTTAGTAAGTGAGGCCTGGTTTCCAATCTTACTTCTAAGAGTTTGGCCCAAGAAGCACATACGCAGCTGGAACCTGGGGCAGGGTTCAGACTGGCTGGTTCACTAGCAATAGCCAAGGGAACATCTGCCAATTCCTACACTCAACCAGAGCTGCTGGGTTGGGTTCCTCTTCCTGCCTCCAGTGAGCTGGACTTCCCTTCTCATTCCTGGCCAGCTTGGTGCTGCTGGGCCCTGTAGGGTGTTTCTCTTTCGTGTGTGTGTGTGTGTGTGTGTGTGTGTGTGTGTGTGTGTGTCTTGGGCACATCACGATGCCCCTCCTGGAATGCACACACCTGCCCCCACCTACGTGTGGATGTGTTCAGGCTTGTGCCACTGGAGGTGGGCATGCCTGCTTGCGGTCCCCAAGTCACAGGGTCAGTCAGTGTATCTCCTATGTGCCTCTCCTGCCCTCTTTGATGGCTCCCAGGCTTCTCAGCTCTGGCTTGATGCCTCCTGAGGGTGTGGGGACTCTCCTCATCCCTGGACCCTCCAGGGTCCTCTGGTCCACACCTCGCAGCTCCTAGGCAGCTGAGCCAACCCCCACCACCTACCCTCGGAGAGCAGGTGGCTGGGAGCTAGGATGCAAGGAGCAAAGGGCTGGAGCGCTGCCTGGGTGTGGACATGACTTGTGTCTACAGGCTCCAGGTTCTGGGATGGTTCCAACCCCACCCATTCATTCTGTAAACAACCTGTAAATAGCCTTTAGCATTCTTATTGTAAGAAGATTAATTTTTATGAAATAAATTATATTTCCTAGTCTAATAAAAAAATCCAGGTCTGCCATTTCCTTGGTGTCCCTTTAATCACATGAATGACTATCCTCTGCCCAGATCCTCACAGGGCAAGGTGTCACTTCCTGTTTGTCCTCAGCCCTTGGATAATCTAGCTCAACAGCCTCATTTTACAGAAGGGAAAACTGGCCCAGAGAGGGGAATGGGCTTCCCAACAATTGCACAGTAAGTTGGGGCCCCAGGCTGAGTCTGAATCTCACCCCTGCTCACCAGCCAAGGCTTGAAGTGATGACTAAGACCCAGCAGCCAGGGGGTCAGTTCAGGGTCCTGTTTGTAGCAGGAGGCCTCCAAAGATGGTGCGGACCCAGAGGATTCAGTGAGAATTCACTTCACTTCTTGGTCTGCAAACAGCCCGCCAAAAGGAGCCCACGCCTCCGCCTCCATACCCTGCTCGTGAGCCCAGCGACTGCTGACAGACTGCTTGGTGTGGACCTATCAGAAAAACGATACACTGACTAAAGGGACTTGGGGGCAGAGAAAAGGGAAATATACCTGTGGGTGGGAGAGAACTTGTTCCAATTTTCATAACTGATAGTGGCCCTATTTCGTGTTTTGCCATGGCCCTATGGACCTCACATCTTGCTCTTCAAGTTGGTTCTGGTTGGCAGTTCTCAGTCTGTATTGCTTCCAGGCCCTTGAGTTTGAAGTGAGAGTCTTTTGACCCCATTTTGGAGGGTCATGATGCCCACCATACATTTAAGGGAGACGTTAACACAGGGTGTTCCTGGAACTCAGTCTGTTAAACTGAGTGTGAGGTGCCTGTGGACCCTGTCAGCCTTGGCTTCTCAGGACCTATGACTCTGATGGATCCCCTCTCAATTTGGGGAGCACACATGAGAGGCAGTTCTGAAGGTCTGATATAGGAAGTTACTGAGACAAAGGGGAAGTCCTTGAGTCCTCTGGGTGCCCATGTTGTGGTGGGGAGGCAGGGCATATAATGTCTCCATGCTTGTGAGCACACACATGTTCAGTCTGCCTTTGCTACCTGAGCATCTGAGGTCTGAGGTGGCCATATTCAGTTGAACTCCAGAATTTTCCCAGAATGAGGATCTGAGGTCTTGAAATTCAAGAGGTATTTATTTATTTATTTATTTATTTATTTATTTATTTATTTATGTTTGGGAGTATTTTGCCTGCATGTAAGTGCACCATCTGTGTGCAATACCTGCAGAGGCCAGAAGAGGGCATTGGATTCACTGGAACTGGAGTTATAGACAGTTATTAGCTGTCACGTGGGTGCTGGGAATTGAACCCCTGTCTTCTGCAAAAGCAGCCAAGTGCCTTTAACTGCTGGGCCATCTCTCTAGCTCCAAGAGGTAGTTGTTGATTTGGCAGGCAGGTGGCCATGTTGCTAAGGAGTGGGGAGTAAGCCAGGCTGGACTGGGCTGGCAGCTCACAGAATAAAAATTGAAGCCCACAGATGGAATACCAAGAACAGGGTAAGTGAAGGAAGAAGAGAAGGGACCTCCCTGCCTTGAACAGTAGTGACTGTCTCTGGGCCGCTGGGGACATGGTGGGGTGGAGGGAATACTGTAGTCCCAGATGCACAGTTGTGAAACCCTGTGGCTGACAGGGGGGCAGTGGATAACAGAATCAGAGGACACAGGATGGGGCAAGGGGGCTGCAGAAGAGAGAGATGGACTCCCCAATCACCACTGAGCTCCCAATCCACCACCCACTCTGAGTCAAGGAAGCTGGGCCTCAGAACTTTGCCTAAAGTCAAAGCTCCAGGGTCTCTGGGTCATGGGGGCAAGAGAAGCACTGATCTCAAGAAAAGGAGTGACAGGTCTTAGTTCCCCACTCCTCTTAGCAGCCCCGGTGCTTGGCAAGCTGCACAGATGCTCAGCTCCAGCCACAGGTAGGCCTTGGTGTGGACCCTGGCATGAAAGAGGCTCTCAGGGCCTCCTGGAACACCTGGACCTGGACAGATGTCCAGAGTCCCATATGTTTACCTCAACCCAGAGTACCTTGAGTTGCTTTTCTCCAGGGTGGTGAGAGGTGGGCTAGGCAACTCAGGCTCATCCTCCTCAGGCCAGACATAGGAAGAAGCAAGCCATAGGAAGAAGCAAGCCAGAGCTAGCTCGCAGAAACCACCACTGGGTGCCAATGGTAACACATTACCATCCTGACAAGCTCCCCCCAATCACCACCAACCTAGAGTTCCAGACCTAACAAGAATATCCTTCTTTTTTTTAAAAAAAGTAAATTTTCTTTAAGTGTGTGTGTGTGTGTGTGTGTGTGTGTGTGTGTGTGTGTGTGTGTATGTATGTGTGTGTGTACGTGCTGCAGTGCAGAGGTCAGAGGACAACTTTGTGGATTCAGTCTGCCTTTGTTGCCTGGGAACATTGCTAACTGGTATTAGAGTTCAATAGGTGATGTATGGGTAAATATAGTATCTGACAAATACTAAACATGTAAAGTCAAGAAATAAATAATTTTTAAAACTAATCAACCTGAAAGACAGGAACGTTTTTGAAAAGAAAGAAAAGGAACATAGGGGTGCTGTCCTGATAGGGAAAAAATAGTATGCAAGGTATTACTTCACATCTAATTGGACAAGAGACTCCACGCAAAAGGTAAAGAGAAGACACTGTGTGTGTGTGTGTGTGTGTGTGTGTGTGTGTAAGTATATTGCCTGCGTGTATGTAAGTGTACCCATGTCACGCAATGCCCGAGGAGGTCAGAAGAAGGCTTCGAATCCCCTGGAACTGGAATTATGAACGGTTGTTAGCCATCATGTAGGTGCTGGGAATTGAACCCAGGTCCTCTGCAAGACCAGTCAGTGCTCTTAACCACTGAACCATCTCTCCAGTCCAGGACACAGTTTT